CAAAAGAGATAAAGATAAAAGATATATTTTATACTTGTTTAACTAAACAGCTTTCAGCTTTTCTACAGCTCACAGCCCACAGCAGCTTTTCCACAGCTCACAACCCACAGCAGCTTTTTCCCACAGCAGGCCTCATTACGCTCCTGTAGGATGAGTCGAGGAGCAGCGATCACTGCATCCTGGCGTATCAGTCTCTCTTGTTGAATCGAGTCGTCTCCAATGTGAAGCCTGCCACTCTGCCTGTTCCCCGTGTCGTGTGTGTGTGCATGCAGTGATTGTTGGGGAAGGCATGGATTGGCGCCAATGGCTTTGAGCAGTGGCAGGGGCGAGAGCAGCAAAATCTCAATTCTAAGCTGACGGAGGCGGGTCTTCTATGGATCATTGTGCTTTGCGAACCTTCATAAATGGACTTCAGTTCAGATGTTTATGATAAAAAAAAACTCTTCAGACCAGACATGTTGGCCTAGGATAGGTTTTCTAGTTGCCTACTGAACTGAACAATGGGTGCTGGGGCTGGAGAACATTGAAATAGCGTGTGGAGGAGCAACTCTCGAACCCACAAAGACAGATTCCTTTTTGGAATTTTAGATGTCATGCAGTACAGGGAATGCTATCGTGGAATTCATAGCAGACTGGACTGGTTTAAATAGCAGTCTTCCAAAATTAGTTTGAATCACTAGGAAGGGGAAGATGGATGCAGGGCCAGGGCCCTTGCCGATGTACTGCAGTCGCTGAAGATCACAAATCTCAAGGGCCGACTTTTTGTCCTTTCGGCGGAAATGTGTGATTTTGCAAAACTAACAAACATGTAGCCACCTCAGCTAACCAAAATTGAGGTAAAGACCAGGAATGCACAAAGGACGTCAAGCTCCCAGCATCACTAGGCCTACAATTGGGTTTTGTGTTGATGCATTCCGAATTGTGTGTTCATATCAGCAAATAAATATTTCTCTTCTCTGTAGCGTAGCTGAATCGAACCTTTAATCTGTTAATAGTTCCTCAAAACTCTATCTTAACATAAAATGCACTCAGAAAAGGATTATTCATGAGAATCAAAATGAAATCTTGGTCCTGAAACTGGAGGTAAAAGTGCAGGAATACAAGCGAACAAGCTTGAAGGCCTAGTTGCGTGAAGTGAGTATATGACAGAAGGATATTCGAGAAAGAGAAAGAAAAAGTCGTGGATTTTTTTCTTTTTGAAATTTTAGCTGGAGCACTGTTGTATCATCATTTATTTAAGAGCAGCGCACACAACACAAAAACAAAACGGTAATACTGCTTATAGGTGGTCCATCCGTCCGGACAGACCCCGTATAAGTCGCCCGCTCACTTTGCGCGGCATTTGCGCCTCGCCAGCGCCACCTCCGCCCGCGTAGCGTGCTCGCTCAGCGCGCTACGCGCCTCTGTTCCGGGACGGACCCTGCCCTCGGTCACGTCGCCCCCGCTCGCGCCGCACCGCCCAGCCCGCGTCCGCACCGCTCGCCCGCGCCACGTGCCCCAGCCCGAACTCGCGTCTCCTATCGCGGCCGTGCTCCATCGACCTGCCCCTACCCCTACCGAGGTCCGTGCCACCGACAAGCTCCACACCGGCAACCTCCGTGCCACTCCGCGGCATCGAGCTCCGCGCCGACAAGCCTCCATTTGTCCAAGCAGCAAGCAGATGCTACGCTGAAAGCGCATGTTGCAATAGTATATTTTCATGTGTTTCAGATGTTTCAGAGGTATGTTGCAAGTATTATATATCGATGTTGCAAAAGTAGATCGGGATGTTGCATATGTTGCAATGGCTATACATGTATGTTTTAAGTGTATGTTCTAAATGTTTCATCTGTTCCAGACAAATGTTTTTTTTGCCAAAAAATGTTCCAGATGAATATTGCAAGTGTTTTATCTAAAGAAATACGGGAGAGATGAACATGACCCAAAAAGAGCGATGAAACAAACTAAGACAGCCCCATCTCGTCTCCCTGATCTTCACCCAACGCTCTCAGACTTCGAGCTCTAGCAAGACATCAGAGGTGTTGCTCTTATCTGAACATCCGGAGGAGGTTGTTGATGCACGGCGTGCCCCGTCAAAACACAAATTACGGTGTTTCCAAATTACCCAAGCACCCAAAATAATAATTGAGTTCACCTTTTCTTCTATCTTTCTGAACCTTTTTCACAGATTTTCTTCACCAATCTGCAAAAGACAATTCATGATAACCTGGAACTGATCTTGTAAGCCCAAAGATGCAATAACCCAGAACCAAAAATCCCGAGAGAACACACATGTGGTGAACACATGTTCAATGTCTTCTTCCTCGTAGTCACATAGTGGACACTTGGGCGGGTGCAGAAGGCCTCGCCTCGCAAGTCTGGCCACTGTCCCACACCGGTTCCGGATGTCGAGCCAAAGAAAAACTTTGCATTTTGATGGAGCCCAGGATTTCCATAGCCGACATCAATGCTCAAAAGGAATTGCTCCATTGAAGAAAGCACGATAAGCAGATTTGGAGGAGAAATTACCCAAGCCATCTAGTCTCCATATATGCACATCTTCATCCTAGGAAAGATGTATATCTAGTAACATATCGCACAATTGAAAATACTCGAAAAGCCCTATTAGTGATAGTTCTCCTTGATATCCACAGGTCAGGATTGGTCATGCAGGGCTTGTGCTACTGTGTGTTGTTTATGGGTTTTTCAAGGCACGTTAGCAACCACCAAAGGCGCTAGATCTGCTACAGAGGAGCCCATGAGCCATCTGTCTAGCTAAAAAAGCGTGTTATTACCATCACCCACCTGTGATTCAAGAGCAACAACGCACATGCATTTCGATGGACATGTATGTTAAGCCCTTTCCAAGAAAGATTTGGATCCGTTCTCGACAACCATAGTCATCGGACTTGCAGGGTCCGACTCATGATCTCAAGATTGAGGAATCATAGCCCTCCCAAATCAAGTGGACGTTGGACTTTATCCCATGTGACCAAGCAGGATCCACCATTCACTTGTTGCCGCCCTTTGCATGTGAATGCTCGACGGATCTTGTCAATTGCACGGAGAAACCATTTGGAAGCGTTGATGGCAATCAGTACATAAATAGGCACGGCTAACGAACCCAAGTGACACGACCAGCCATGTTCATGAGAGACGCTTTCCAGTCGGACAGCTTGTCTCCAGACCTTTTCAATCCACAGCAGCAGGTTTTCCCGTTAAATTAAATCGGTTTAGTTTGCTTAAAAGAGTAGACCAGTGATATGCACCCGGCACCGCTTTGCAGGTCTCGTGGAGATGGCCTTACGAACATTACAGAGAAATGGAATGGAGTGGTTTAGGTGAAACACCAAGGAAACAAAGTAAAAAGGTTTTCAACGTCCTAAGACCGTCTCCAGCAGCCTCACCCAAACCTAAATATGCCTAGTTCATGTTCGTTTCGGTGAAAATAGCAAGCTCCAACGGAGTAGACAAACCAAAGACCCAGTATGCGTCGGTGTCGTTTGGGAACCCAAATAAGCGTCCGTCTCTCTCCTCGACCCATATGTCTGTCACGCCCGCACAACCGTTTCGCGGGAGGAAAAAGAAGAGGAAAGCGCACCCGGCGAGTCGCCGTCGGCGAGATCTGCACCGAGTTAGGCTTCACAGGTACGGATCCCTCCGCCCCACCGCCGCGTCCTCCCGCTCGCCGCGGAGCCCTGGCCAGCCCGCCCTGCGACGGCCCGTCCCCGCCCCAGCGAGCGCAGCCGCTGCCGCTCGCTTGCCGGCCAGCTCCTAGATCCCCAATCTCTGTCCTTGCTCCTACCTTTAATGTCGCCCAGCGGCGCCGCCATAGATCCCGGCCGATGACGGCAATCTGAGCAGAATCGACGTCGAAGGATTTGAACCAGTGGTTTCTTGTTCTTGGCGAAGTGGTCCAATTCCAATCGGCTGCCAGTACGGTGCCGGACCGGGATACGGCGCCGCCTTCCCGGGCAGGTCCGCAGGTGGGGTCAACCTGATGGCCGTGCTCTCGGCGTTCCTCGCTGACTTGCGCGGCTGCTGGAATCCACCCCCGTGGACGGCAAGCTGGCCGGGAAGTCGTCGTTGATGGTCCTGTCCGTGCCAAATTGATGTTGCTTTAAGTTCTAGTGTTCGGATCCACCTGATTCATTGCAGGTGCTCCTCGTAGGCTTGCTCAGAGTTCATAAAAAAATCTCTCCTGATCTATTTTTCTTGTCTCTGCCATTTTTCTATGCCGCCGTTTGTTTACAGATTTTTCTATCAATCCATCTTTCCTACAGGTTCAAAGCTAATTTTTTATAAAAAAAACCATCCTTTTATATTCAGATTCAGTCCAATAAGAATCGTTATTATATGTCCTTTTAGTTTTTTTTTTCTGAAACCAATGCATTTTTTGTCTGCACATTTATATACCTGCTCATTTTGTTGCATTCAGATTCAGTTGCTTTTTTCACCTGTTTTCTTATGGTAAATATTTGATTTAGTAGTACTTGGGCATTGACAGATTAGTGTTAAGGATGATTTTGTTAGATGGTGAACACTTCTTTTGCTAATTGGGTTGAACGTCGGTAAAAATTAGTCGTACATAATTTCACCATTGTCATTAAATTTTCTTACTGGAACTTCTCATTAAATACGGTAGAAGACTTGTCTTGTTGACTACTTCCCTTGGCATATATGTTGCTGGTGGTTTTAGACAGGGACCAAATTGTCTATGGATGGAAGAACCAAATGCATCGTCTGTGCTGATATATTCTTTTGCTTCTTATTGTGCATCACCATTATTGAATCTCTTTGAACTAGGACGATGGATAACATTTTTAGTGGCACAAGTGGTCGCATTAGTGAATCTGGAGAAATCTTTGGGGCAGATCAGTGGGCTTTTGGTTATTCTGCTGCTTTGCAATCTTTGGATGTTCCTCCAAACCCCCAGATTTATTGCAGCCATGCATGATGGTTTGTTCTATTTATATATCAATACATCAATGATTAACAGTTCTTTTCATCACTAGCTCAACATGCATGGCTCCTCCCAGATGCCCTGCCCACCTATGAATGGGCAACTTAGTCAGGGGTTCTCCATTGACAAGACCCATGGCTCTCAGGACCCTCCATCATTGAAATCACAGAGGGCCGCAAAGAAGAAAAACGTGGCTAGGAGAGGAACTGCATTCACCAAAGAGGAGGACTTGTGGTGTGTTCGACATTTCTGAATATTAGCAAAGACCCTATTACTGGTAATAGTTTGCAACGTCTTTTAAGAAATCTTTGACCCTTGATGCCCAAATAACATGGTGGCATAACATGCAGGTGCGAATCAGACTTCAGGTGGTTATTACAAGAGGATGCATGATTATTTCAATGAGCATAAGCCTGAAAGGTCCAACCAGTAGCCAGATTGCGATTCAGCATAGGTGGGCATTGATTCAGAAAGCGATGAACAAGTTCTGTGGGCACAAAGAAGCTATTGATAGGCTGAATGAGAGCGAAAAAAATGAGCAGGATCGGGTATACTTCCACTCATGTTGTCCTCCATCTCTCTAATTTTCATATGTTTATTTTTTGAATTGGTTTAGTCTATATTCATATGTGTAGATTGATGATGTTGTACAAATGTACGAGAGGACAAAACCTTTTACCATCATGCATTGCTGGAAAAAACTTCGCAATGAGGCCAAATGGAACAATAAGTTTCTTGAGCTAAACAACTGTACATCACCGGATGGAATGCCATCTCCTCCAACTCAAGGCCATAATGTGGCTGGCCATGCAGAATCTGGGAATGAGAATATAGACACATCAATCACGTCCTGAAGGTAGGGATAGTGCGAAGAGGCATAGATCAAAGAGCTTCACAGAGACATCGTCATCTAGTACGGCTGTTGAAGTCCTCCAGCGGTTGCAGGAGAAATCAGAGAAGACCGAACAGAAGCAAGACCAACAAATGACTGAAATCCTTAGTAGGAAGGATGAAAAAATTAAAATTCAAAGGGATCTTTTCAACCTTCAGAAAAAGCATATGAAGATGAGTGTGCAGCAGAAAAAGAAGGAAAATGCGATTAGAGAGAAGGAGTCAGAGGCTCATCTGATATCAGTTGAGTCTAGTATTATGTCGGTTGACATTGAGAAGGTCCCCTTTATCTGAAAAACTATTATCTTGGCATGTAGCGGCAAATCATGGAGCGCAGAGGATTCATCAGCCCCTCGAACAATGAAGATTAAGGAGCGTGTGTTAAACTTCAGTTGAACTAGAGTTTAATAAATGTATTGTGTGCAACTTTCTATTATCTGTTGAACTGATATATTATCTATAGTATTATGAACTGCTGTGTATAGGCAATCTGATTTTGCCTGTTTGTAGTGTTGTACTGATCTTTTGGTAAGCACTGGCTGTGAATGAAAATCTTCCTATTTGCAATATCTGAATGTTGGATGCATGAGTTTGATTTTGTCGGGGACCTAATACCGGGGTACCCCAGAAGGTGGAACCAATAACCACCGAACGTTAAAAACTTTTGGACGCATAAGAGCATTGCTTCACCCCTCATGGGAATGACAGGAGCTTGGTTCCATCTCGCCCGACGCCTTTGGGGTGGGCTTGGTCTCGCCCGAGGGCCGAGGATTAGTCTCCGTCTCACCCGACGCCTTTTGGACAGGCTCGATCTCGTCCGAAGGCCGAGGGATAAACCCCGACTCGCCTGACGCCTTTGATGTGGCTCTGCCTCGCCCGAGGGCACAGGGCTAGTCTCCGTCTCGCCCGACGCCTTTAGGGCGGGCTCGGTCTCGCCCGAAATTTGAGGATAGACTCCGCCTCGCCTTGACCCCGGAGGAGGAGCGAGGTTGGTCTCGCCCAGGAGATAGGGATTGGTCTCCGCCGCATGCATGACGGCAAGGAACGAGCCTCACTCTGCTCCATATCTAAAGATTGGATTCATCTTACTCGACCACTTCTCCTGTTCCTTCAAGATGATAGAGACAGGGCAAGACAAGACGTTCATGTCAACCGTGGCTCCAAGAACCATACCCTGCACCCTGGCAGGAAAAGTACTGCCAGGGGATGACGGGATGGGCGCTTTAGGCCCTTCTAGGCGCCGCAGAGCCCGAAAGGTGTCACAGGTGCGAGCTCTCCACCCTGTAGAGTTGTAGGCGCCGCCTTCAGCTCTGGGACACGGAACCCGACGAAGATATACGACAACCACTACGCCCGAAAAAGGATTTGCTATCTCCATGAACGACGGATATTCCGTCACCACGTTGTGGACCCAAGGAGCGGCGCCGCGCTTCCCGACCCTCGGGTCCACCAAGATAGAAGACCCACACGGCGGCGCTACTCCAGACCCGATCCGCGTCCCTCAAGCGAAGACTCATAGGAACCGTAAGGCGTGCGGAGGCGAAGGTGGGGAGGCTCAAAAGTTAAAACCATCAGATCTGCGGCCCATACCTGCAAGTAGGTAGCATTCTGTAACTAACCTGTCATTCTACAGAGACATCGGCAGTATTATAGGCGCTTATCTTCCTTCGCACTCATCAGAATGAAGAACCAGGCCAGGTAGACGTGAGCCACAAGACTAAGTAGAGTACGCATCCTAAAGCCCTCACCCTTGTAAAGCCGGCCCCTTTATCTATAAAAGGGATGCGCTTCCTCCACGTAAAGGAGAGAGAGAAAAAGATCGAACGACACGACTCTCGATACACAGTCAAGTTGTGTCGAACCTCTTGACATCCTTTCAACCTTCCATCGAGACTTGGGACCGGTCCCTCTCTCGTCGTTTGTACCCCTTACTACAAAAACCGTTCACGGTGCTAATAACACGACAACAACAAACCGGACGTAGGGACTTTTGGCCCGAACCAAAGTATAAATCTTGTGTCCTTTAGCGCACCATCCGAGCCTAACGCGCATTACTATAAATTTACTTGCGGTGCTTGTACGAAACACCCGGCGGCCAGCGCGCTGTAGGGGAACTTATGTTCCAAATCAGGCCTCGGATGGCTACCCACGCAATCACCTAGGTCCCGGGCGCACACGTGCGTTTCGGCGACCTAGATTTCATCATCACACTAGAAGGAGAGTTGGCGCTGACTCACTCTGCCGCCCCATCTCTCCCTTCCATCAACCTCAGCCGTCTTAGGCTTGAGGGCCCGCCGGGCAACTCCCTGGGAGTTCGGTCACCAAGGGAGGTCTCGCACAACGTCACCCTATGTCCAGAAGGTCCCGTACAGAGCGCCCGACAAGCGCGTTTTCCGTTCGGTCTCTCGCAAGCATTGCGGCGACCGCTAGCCACCTTCTGGCGCTACGGATGGTTCAGTCACCCACGGACATCGAGTTCGTGGGGGCGATTGAACATGATACGGAGACCCTTTACGGGCTCCTCAACGAGGAGCCGGGATCGTTCTCTAGCTTGGATTCCAGTAGGAGAAGCCACCACCCTTCCCGGGAGTGCTTCATGACGCAGACCCCCGAAGGTCACATCGAAAGCGCCTCTAGGGAAGAGGTCACCCCTACAAACAACCCTGACAGCAGATCCGGGGAAGAGACGACAGCCCCATCTCGCCTAAGGATGGAGCAGCTGAAGGCCCGTCAGCAGGAGATCGATGAGGCCGGGCAAGGGCTCATTCGAGAGTACGCGGACATCAATCACAAGATTGAACGCCACAAAGACGGGGGGCGCGCGCGCGCCACGGCCCGTACCGTACACCAAAGGATCCTCACCGACGATGGGATCCTTCCTCACTTCGCCCGAGCCAGCCAGAACATCGCCGCAGCAACCGCCTTGCTGCGTGGCCTCCCGGAGGCCGCGACGGCCGAAGATCGCCGGGCCCATAGGGAGATTCGCACGTTGCTTGAGCACGCGGTGGCGCAGCAAGCGGAAAGTTCGTTGTCTCGACAACGCGAACCCAACACCAGCCAGCACGCGCCCTCGGTGCGTCCCACCAAGGACGCATTCGTACACCAAACACCGCCAGCCGACGGGTAGCCCTCCATCGTCCCAGTACATCAACGCCTCGGCCATGGCCGCGACGTATGCAGTATCATCGACGCTCGGAGACGTGCCCATGGCGATGATGGAGAAGCCGCACGCTGCGGCTATCATCCCCGACGTGGTGAGCGCTATGACAGCAACGAGGACCGAAGCCCGAGCTCCGGCCTGCCAGGCCCTCAGGCCTTCGCCCAACACATCCTCAACGCTGCGTTCCCCCTAAGGTATCGACCGCCTACCAACATCCCTAAATATTCTGGCGAAACAAATCCCGGGCTTTGGCTCAAAGACTATCGGCTTGCATGTCAGGCCGGTGGTGCGAGTGATGACAACTTCATTATTCGCAATCTCCCGCTGTTCTTGGCCGATTCGGCGTGAGCATGGCTGGAGCACCTACCGTCCAATGCTATTCAGAGTTGGGCGGATCTGACGGAGATCTTCGTGGGTAACTTCCAGGGCACGTACAAACGCCCTGGAAACCCATGGGACCTCAAAAACTGCCGCCAGAAGGCCAATGAAACCCTTCGCGGGTACATTCGGCGCTTCTCTCGACAGTGCAACGAGCTCCCGAACGTCGCCGACGTGATAGGAGCCTTTCTGTCCGGGACGACTTGCGAATCCCTGGTCCACAAGCTAGGACGCAGGGGCCCGTGGACTACCAAGGAACTCCTGGACATCGCCACCAGTCACGCCTCTGGAGAGGAAGCGGTCGGAGCCATCTTTGACCGCACCGACGGCAAGGCGAGGCGGGACAAGGCCGCCGATGAAGGCACCTCCGACTGTCCTGCCAAGGGAAAAAATAAGAAGCAACGACGCGACAACCCGCTCGTGTCCGCAGCCGACCGCAAAGGTGGCCGGAAGCCTGCGGAAGGCACTCCGAACCACTTCGAGAAAATGCTCGAGGGGGCATGCCCAAACCACGCCTTCCCGGCCAAGCATCTATACAAGGAGTGCGGCCTCATGCGCAAATACTTGGCTTGGGGACTTAACAAAGGGGAGCAGGGGAAGGAACCTGTTCCCGCCATAGAGGACGCAGAGGAGAAAGACAACACCTTCCCAACGCCGACCGGCGCCCTTATGATCTTCGGAGGATCAACGGCCTACGACTCTAGGCGCCGCCAGAAGGTCGCCCGTCGCGAGGTCTATATCGCCGGACCGGCCACGCCAGCCTTCCTCCGGTGGTCAGAATCCGCCATCACCTTCGACCGGACTGACCATCCGGATGCCGTCCCACACCCGGGAAGGTACCCGCTTGTCGTCGATCTGATCATCGATCCAAAGCGGCTCACCAAAGTACTGATGGATAGGGGCAGCGGCCTCAACATCATGTACGCCAAAATGCTCGACGAAATGGGCGTCGACCGAACAAACCTCCATCCCATCCGAGCACCATTCCATGGCGTCGTGCCTGGTAGGCAAGCCGTACCACTAGGGCAGATCGACCTGCCCATCACTTTTGGGGATCGGTCCAATTACCGGACCGAGATCCTCACCTTCGATGTAGTGGGGTTCCCGGGGACTTTCCACGCCATCCTGGGGCGACCATGTTACGCGAAGTTCATGGCCGTTCCCAATTATACATACCTGACGCTGAAAATGCTGGGCCCCCGCGGGGTCATCACCATCGGCACCTCTTTCCAGCGCGCTTACGAATGCAAGGTCGAATGCTGCGGATACGCATCCGCAGTCATCGCCTCCGAAGAGCTCGCCACCCTCAGGGAGAAGGTCGTTGAAGAGGCACCCGACGCAAAGAAATCAACCGGGTCGTTCGAATCGGCAGAAGGCTCCAGGGAGGTCCTCTTGGATTCCAGCAGCTCCGAGGGCAAAAAAGTCCGTATCGGGACCTTGCTCTCCTCCAAGTAGGAAAGCGCGCTCGTCGACTTCCTCCGCGCCAACAAAGACATCTTTGCGTGGAAACCCTCGGATATGCCGGGCATCCCGAGGGAGGTCGCCGAGCATACTCTCCAAATCCTCCCGGGCTCCAAGCCAGTGAAACAACGCCTACGCCGCTTCGACGAGGAGAAACGCAGGGCCATTGGCGAGGAGATAGCCAAACTAATGGCCGCAGGATTCATTAAGGAAGTATACCATCCGAGTGGTTAGCAAATCCTGTTCTTGTGCGAAAAAAAGAGCGGAAATGGAGATATGTGTGTCGATTATACGG